ACATCTCTCTGGCTCTGAGTCCAGTTCAGTTTTTAACCACAGAACCCAAGACCAGAGAGGAGTTCTTACAATACTCTACAGACTTCACTCTGGACACAAACACAGTGAGCACAGAACTGTCTCTGTCTGATGGAAACAGAAGAGTGACACTTATGAGTAAACATCAGAAGTATCCGGATCATCAGGACAGATTCAGTGTGTGGGAGCAGGTCCTGAGCAGAGAGAGTGTGAGGGGCCGCTGTTACTGGGAGGTGGAGTGGAGCTCAGAGGATTATGTTGGTATCGCAGTTTCATACAGAGATATTCAGAGGAAAGGACGCTCTAATGAATGTGGATTTGGATTCAATGATAAATCCTGGGCCTTGTTCTGTCACAAAACCAGACCTTTATTTAAGTTTAACTCAGTGGAGTCCAAAGTGTCAGGTCCGGTCGGGTCCAGAGTCGGGGTTTTCCTGGACCACAGTGCAGGGGTTTTGTCCTTTTACAACGTCTCAGAAAACATGAGGCTGATCCACCGAGAACAGACCACCTTCTCTCAGCCGCTTCACGCTGGAGTCAGGATTTACTATCGTCATGGAGACACTGCACATTTCCCTAAACTCAAATAACAGTTTGTTCTCCACAGTTTTACATCAAATTTGTGCCTTTGCTAAAAATCCTTCATGATTCAATTTAATTCAATGTATTTGTGTTTAGCCCTAAGGTAGACCCAGGACTGAGACTGTAGACCCAGGACTGAGACTGTAGACCCAGGACTGAGGCTGTAGACCCAGGACTGAGACTCTAGACCCAGGACTGAGACTGTAGACCCAGGACTGAGACTGTAGACCCAGGACTGAGGCTGTAGACCCAGGACTGAGACTGTAGACCCAGGACTGACCCAGGACTGAGACTAGACCCAGGACTGAGACTGTAGACCCAGGACTGACCCAGGACTGAGACTAGACCCAGGACTGAGAGTGTAGACCCAGGACTGAGAGTGTAGACCCAGGACTGAGACTGTAGACCCAGGACTGAGGCTGTAGACCCAGGACTGAGACTGTAGACCCAGGACTGAGACTCTAGACCCAGGACTGAGACTCTAGACCCAGGACTGAGACTGTAGACCCAGGACTGAGACTCTAGACCCAGGACTGAGACTCTAGACCCAGGACTGAGACTCTAGACCCAGGACTGAGACTGTAGACCCAGGACTGAGGCTGTAGACCCAGGACTGAGACTGTAGACCCAGGACTGAGACTAGACCCAGGACTGAGACTGTAGACCCAGGACTGACCCAGGACTGAGACTAGACCCAGGACTGAGAGTGTAGACCCAGGACTGAGACTGTAGACCCAGGACTGAGACTAGACCCAGGACTGAGAGTGTAGACCCAGGACTGAGACTGTAGACCCAGGACTGAGACTAGACCCAGGACTGAGACTGTAGACCCAGGACTGACCCAGGACTGACCCAGGACTGAGACTGTAGACCCAGGACTGACCCAGGACTGACCCAGGACTGAGACTGTAGACCCAGGACTGAGACTGTAGACCCAGGACTGAGACTGTAGACCCAGGACTGAGGCTGTAGACCCAGGACTGAGACTCTAGACCCAGGACTGAGACTCTAGACCCAGGACTGAGACTCTAGACCCAGGACTGAGACTGTAGACCCAGGACTGAGACTGTAGACCCAGGACTGAGACTGTAGACCCAGGACTGAGACTGTAGACCCAGGACTGAGGCTGTAGACCCAGGACTGAGACTGTAGACCCAGGACTGAGGCTGTAGACCCAGGACTGAGACTGAGACTGAACGATGCTTTCTTCCCAGACCCGTGTGGTCCTAAGTGTGTCAGATTGTAAACTGTTTAGTTGATCTTAATATGAACTTCTGTCCTATATTCTATTGTTGTTCCTCATGTGATGTCACTGCTCAAGTCTCTGCTCTGTCGTACTGTAAACCTGATTTTCTCCTTTAAATCCACTCTAATTGTTGTATGAGTTTCTTGTGGACTTTGACTCGTAATTGTAAAGCTCCAGGTCACAGAATGATTAACGCTGGTTTTCGACGGTGAAGGCTTTAAACCTGCAATAAAAATATGGAATGGATCTGTTTTCGTGAGGCTTGTGTCGAGCTGATGCCAGAAAACTGTAAAAATATGAAGTTTAGAAAATAAGTATAGACACTGACAAACACACACACACACACACACACACTGGGAATTCACTGAGGCAGAGAACACACACACTACAGTAGTACTCGAGTAGTGGCAGCACATACATACACTACAGTAGTACTCATCTATGTATGTGCTGCTGCTACTCGAGTACTACTGTAGTGTATGTATGTGCTGCTACTCGAATACTACTGTAGTGTATGTATGTGCTGCTACTAGTACTCGAGTACTACTGTCATCTATGTATGTGCGGCTGCTACTCGAGTACTACTGTAGTGTATGTATGTGCTGCTGCTACTCGAGTACTACTGTAGTGTGTGTATGTGCTGTTGCTAGTACTCGAGTAGCAGCAGCACATACATAGATGACAGTAGTACTCGAGTAGCAGCAGCACATACACACACTACAGTAGTACTCGAGTAGCAGCAACACATACATCGATTTTTTTCTCTCAATCATTTATTTATGATTTGTCAACTATTAACAAACAAACACATGGACAAACAAACAAACCCCTGGAGATTGCCACAAGAAAAAAATAAAATAAAAAAAAAGAGTTCATCCGAAATAATAATATTGATTAATTATTATTTAACAATCTAACAAAGGATTGCCATAGCTCATTAAATTCACAAGCTTTACCTTTAAGTAAATGGATCTTTTTGAATGTAGTGAGATTCTTGGGGTGAATGTGAAGCAGACACATTTTTGCATCAAAGGGAGCTGACAACCCAACAGTGTAGATGTGAAACTGAGAACGTGAATTAGGTTCCAGTTTGTGTGCATTTATAACATTTATTTGAACTCTTACGGTCGACGTATTGTAATTTTACTGGAGTAATGTAGGTCCTAAGCAACCATTTATATTGAATTAATCTACATTTTGTGGTAACTGTTGGAGTCTGTGCTTGTAAACATGTTTTTTCACATTCCTCCACTGAAATGTCCACATCCAGGTCTTTTATCCAAGCAGACAAGAGAATCAAAACAGTTTAAAAATGGGAAATGTTTAGATCCAGGACTGAGGCTGTAGATCTAGGACTTAATGCAGAAGAGGCAGATTTGAACATAAGCTAGCTGGAGCCAATTTCCTTATATGGGCATTTGTCACAATGGGGTGAGCTTTGAACCATAACAGAGGAAAACCTGTTGCTAAGACGGTTGCTAAGGCAAGCTGGAGTTTACCCCGAAAAAAGAAGGAATCTGTTTGGTCAATCCTTACATGGCGGTAAGTGTGACACAAACAAAACTGATGTAACCCCTGTAAAATTATATAAAAAATGTATTAAAAATATATAGAAAATATATGTACACATGGCGCTCCTTTATGCCTGCAATTGGTTTCGGCAAATCACGCAAGCTCTGTTGGTCACGTGATGCAAGTGGGTCATGTGACCAAGTAGTTTTAATCATGGCGGCTCGGGCTGCCAATAGGCAAAGGGGGACGCGTTTTGACAGGCTGCAAGAGGTCAGTAAACATATAAACATATAAACTATATGTTCTGTGTTACCATCCACTGATTTGCCAACCTTTGTAGATGTGTGGACGTGACGCGCTGTTTACAACCAGTGGGGCCCAAAAGTGTCCAAAATGACGTGCGCTGACATGCTGCAATACCACCCCGGGCCGATGGGGGTGGACCCGGAATAAGAATTAGCCAATGCTAACATATAGCATCTTCTTACCTCTCGAAAACGTCTTTACAGGATGGACCAAAAGAACGGCGGAGATATGCGTGACTACGTCCGTTAATATTTACAGTCTATGTTTGCAACGTGCTGAACAGAGTGGAGCGTTCATATTATCACTGTGTATCGTAAGTGTTACCTGCCGAACCTAGCTGTCACTAGCGGCTATTGCTAATGTTATGCTAACGAGGCTCCATTCATTGTAATTAGCTTAACATTATAATAATAATAATAATAATAATGATGCATAGGTTTTATATAGCACTTTTCTGGACACTCAAACACTCTTTACATGTGTCATTATTCATTCACTCCAAACACGGTGGTGATAAACTACTACTGTAGCCACAGCTGCCCTGGGGCACACTGACAGAAGCGAGGCAACCTGTATGTGCCAACGGCCCCTCCCACCACCACCAACCATTCACACACACACCAGACTCATTCTAGGCAATGGGGGGGAAGTGTCTTGCCTCAGGACACACCAGCAGTTTGGCACTTCACAGCCGCAGCCGCCCCACTGTGGCATCAGCTGTTCCCAGAGGTTAAGTGACTTGCACAGTTATGTAACTTCGAAGTGACTTAGTTATTTGAATATTCTAACTTTGTAAATTACTGCGATCAATGCAATGAATTTAAAGTGTATTTGTCATTCACTTAAGATGTTTTGAGTCCTTTACATGCATGTATTTTAGATGTTTTGAGAATTTAGATATGAATTTAACTATTTATTTTTATTTATTTATTTTATTTATATTTTGTTTGTCTATGTTTTTTCTTGTTGCCACTATACTGTGAAGACGAAATGTCTACCCCTTGTGTCCAAAAGGATTATGACAGCATGTGTCTCAAAGTCCTGGCTGCACACCTGCAGTCAGACATTATAAATTGGTTTACTGTTTGTCTCTACACACACCCTGACGAAGGCGTAAGCCGACACGCGTTGGTGTGCTTTTTAATGTTTCTGGCCCATAAATAAAGCCATCTACTTTTGCAAACGATGAGTGCCTGGACCTGATTTTTCTCTGCACGTTCTATTGCCTCCTTCCATGAGCACCATCTTTTTGCTGGATACCAGAAGCTCCCTGTTCTAATTTCTGTTATGAATTTAACTATAGTTGATATATTAGCTAATGCGCTGGTCCTCTTACTCACAGGCCAGGTCTTTTCTTGTATCCTGAAGCCAAACGATGGCGAGCTTGACCCAGGAACCTGAGCATCGGAGCCCCTGAGCCCACTACTCCACCTGTGCGGCAGGAGATACACGCTCTGAGCCTTTGCCCCCTGTTCTCAATCCACGCTGCTCCACTCCCTACGTTGGAGGCCTTGTTTCAAACGGACACCTTCATCAAATCTAGAGAGACTAGTTCCCTACCTCTCGATTACAAACATGAACATTTGGTCCTTCTATTAGAGACACTTTTGGAACTTTGGGAGGGAACTTTTGTATGGGCAAGTCCTTATTTTCCCCTTTTGGTTTGGTAGTCATGACTATTTGCTGAACAACTGTATATATATGTAAATGTTTTGTAAATAATCACACAGTGCACTTCAAACTCCAACTTGGTTCTTGCTTATTACTACTCAACCTCCTCGAGCGAACCCCAGGGCTTCTGATGCTAGTCCAGTCTTTACTATTCTTAACTCGTACTTAACTTATACTGCTTAAGTGGCTTTTAATTAGTACTGAGTGCTACACTGAGCTAGAGGACTTTACTTTTCATTGTAAGTCAATAGGAGCCAGAGCAAGTTGGAGCAGAACTTTGTCCATGAGCACTTTTCCCTATTGGGTTTCATTGAGCTAGCGGGTTAGCATTGTCCATCTCTACACAGTCAATGAGAAAAACATGGCTTTACATCAAGGGAACATGTGTTTTTGCTTCTGTCACAGTCTGAAAGCACTGGGTCTGTGTGTGTAGCTGCTGTTGCCACTGGTACTGCTAAAGGTGCGATGGTGTTTGTGGTGTTGATGGTGCTGATGGTGCTGATGGTGTTGGTAGTGTTGATGATACCGATGGAGTTGACGTGTTGAAGGTGCTGATGGTGCAAATGATGCCGATGGTGTTGACGGAGTTGATGGTGTTGATGGTGTTGATGGTGTAGATGGTGCCAACATTGTAGATGGTCCTGATAGTGCTGATGGTGTAGACGGTGCTGATAGTGTTGATGGTGCTGATAGTGTTGATGGTGCTGATAGTGTTGATGGTGCTGATAGTGTTGATGGTGTAGACGGTGCTGATAGTGTTGATGGTGCTGATAGTGTTGATGGTGTTGACTGTGTTGATGGTGTTGATGGTGCTGATAGTGTTGATGGTGTTGACTGTGTTGATGGTGTTGATGGTGTAGATGGTGTTGATGGTGTAGATGGTGTTGATGGTGTTAATGGTGTTGATGGTGTAGATGGTGTGGATGGTTTGAATGGTGTAGATCAGGGGTGCTCACACTTTTTCAGCATGCGAGCTACTTATAAAAGGATCAAGTCAAAATGATCTACCTACTACAAAAATGCAAATCATATATTTCAAAAAATATTCTTTATATCTACAATGTATGTTTATGTACATGCAAAACCGCATGAGCCAATATAGCACAACACAACACAATTACCTATGTACATTTTTTGTCATTACCCGAGTTTACTCTGATGACTTGCACTGAACTGAATCGGCCAGGGATGCATAGTCCGGAAAATTGGTGGTAACTCGCTGACAAGTTTGTCGTGGTTTTGCTTTCCTGCACTGAGCGCGGTTGTTTGCGCATGTGCAGTCACCTAAGTGTCAGTAAAACATTACTGAGTAAAACACAGATGTCATTTGACTGTGGTGCCATGTCCATGTGCCATGCCTGTTTTTTTAAAATCCAAATATTTCCCCTCCTCAGTTTATACAATAATTTGCATCCACACATCTGCGTTATCAATCACATTCGTAACATTCCAAACATGTGCGTCTCTTACGTCCTGTCCTGCGTTGGGGAAAAACACAGAAGTGGGCGGAGTTCTGATGCAGACTCCGGTAACGGCACTTTTACAGTCATAGAAGACACTCAGAGTAAAGACATATGTTTACAAGCACTGACCCCGTCCTCAGCCCTGGTTTAGTCCTGGTTTAATCCTGGTTTAGTCCTGGTTTAGTCCTGGTTTAGTCCTGGTTTAGTCCTGGTTTGGTTGTTTTCGAGCGTGAGTCCCCGCGATCACTTTGCTGCTCTCTGATGTGGAGGATGTTTGCTGCTGCGAGCATCTCACAGCGAACAGTTTTTAAGGTAGTATGATCCATGCTTCAGTGATCAGAGGAATTTAGGAGGGTACTGTGGCGTGCGAGAACGCAAAACTCCGGTTATCTCTGACTACACACAAATGCATTAACGGAGTTTTCAAAAATCTCCACTTTGCCCGGAGTTTTTTGTATATATTCGTTTAGAATGTGTAATTTTTTATTTATTTAATGCGATCTACCAATACTACCTTTGCGATCGACTGGTAGATCGCGATCGACGTATTGAGCACCCCTGGTGTAGATGGTGTAGATGGTGTTGATGGTGTTGATGGTGTTGATGGTGTTGATGGTGTAGATGGTGTTGATGGTGTTGACTGTGCTGATGGTGTTGATGGTGTTGATGGTGTAGATGGTGTTGACTGTGTTGATGGTGTCGATGGTGTTGATGGTGTAGATGGTGTTGATGGTGTGGATGGTGTTGATGGTGCTGATGGTGTAGGGTGTGTTGATGGTGTAGATGGTGTAGATGGTGTTGATGGTGCTGGTGGTGTAGATGGTGCTGATGGTGTAGGGTGTGTCGATGGTACTCACCTATGGTACTGGGCTTGTAGAAACTGGAACTCCTCCTTGATGCGGTCGCAGGACTCGGTGACGGTGAATTTGAACGGCTGTCCCGGCTGCTGCGGCACAACAGAGGACAGAGGTAAGACACAGACCTGACTGTGTACTCTACTCTACTCTACTCTACTCTACTCTACTCTACTCTACTCTACTCTGCTCCGCTCTGCTCTGCTCTGCTCCGCTCCGCTCTGCTCTACTCTACTCTACTCTGCTGTACTCTACTCTGCTGTACTCTACTCGACTCGACTCGACTCGACTCGACTCTACTCTGCTCTGCTCTGCTCTACTCTACTCTGCTGTACTCTGCTCTACTTTACTCTACTCTGCTGTACTCGACTCTACTCTACTCGACTCTGCTCTGCTCTGCTCTACTCTACTCTACTCTACTCTACTCTGCTGTACTCTGCTCTACTTTACTCTACTCTGCTGTACTCGACTCTACTCTACTCGACTCTACTCTACTCTACTCTGCTCTGCTCTACTCTACTTTACTCTACTCTGCTGTACTCTGCTCTACTTTACTCTACTCTGCTGTACTCTACTCTGCTGTACTCGACTCTACTCGACTCTACTCTACTCTGCTCTGCTCTGCTCTGCTCTGCTCTACTTTACTCTACTCTGCTGTACTCTGCTGTACTCTACTCTACTCTACTCTACTCTGCTGTACTCTACTCTACTCTACTCTACTCTACTCTACTCTACTCTACTCTACTCTACTCTACTCTACTCTACTCTACTCTACTCTACTCTACGCTACTCTACTCTACTCTTCTCTGCTGTACTCTACTCTACAGTACTCTACTCTACTCTACTCTACTCTACTCTACTCACAGTTAGAACACTCTAGTACCAGCTTGGCCTGGATATAAGTAGAGTAGAGTAGAGCAGAGTAGAGACTAAAAGCACATCCAGTCTAACCATTCACAAACATATTTCTCAAAACTACTTTTTAGCATCTGACCTAAACTTGACTCACTTTACTTTAGATAAAAACATAAATCTATGAATAAATAATACATGGATTTGGTTCCGTGACCTCTGTCTTCTCATGACCCCAAACCTCTGCTCACTCATCCATAATCCACTCCAGGGGTCTCCAACCTGTAGCTCGGGAGCCACCAGAAGCTCGCCACCCGCTTCCAGGTAGCTCGCCAAAGGATTTAGAAATAAACAAATCAAATAATATACTTTACTTTTATAATATACTTTATACTTTAATATACTCTCATTTTGTGCAGTAGTAACAAATATGCGGCGATAAATAATGACAGTACCCAATATCAGGCTTATTCACTCCAATATACAGAATCAGCAATTTTGTTCCCAGGGCCCTTAAAGGAGTAGCTCTCTGCCTTTATCGTCCCGGGAAAGTAGCTCTCTGGGTGAAACAGGTTGGAGACACCTGATCTACTCAGTTTAAAGTCTGTCGGCAGTATTTATACCTTACAAATGTATTAAGACTTTTTTTAACTTAATTGCACCATTTACCAAAACCTGTGTGTGACGTCCAGACACTCACAAAGAAAAACAAATACTTCTGCAAATTGAGAGGTTGAACATGTGAGTATGTGAATTAAATTAATATCTGACGGGTTTTGTTTTGGTTTTTTGTTTTACTAATTTGCATCTTGACCCCTGACCTTCTGCTGATTTCCTGTTGACATTGTTGGAATTGAATGAGACAGGACTGAATATTTTCTACATGTTGTGTATGTGTCGCCAGTGGAAATGAGTCACAAATGGCAAAAATGTGGCAAAATCTTAATCTGACACATTCTGCCTTAAAACTAGATTCTGCAAAACGGGACGATGTCATTTAGTTTGATTTAAAGAACTGTTGCTTTATTTTCTCATTCCAAAGGACACATTTCTGTATCTTTTTAAAACTAGATCATTTTGGTTATATACATACACACACTTACAGTATATACACACAGAAACAAACACAATAATACACATATCCTGTACTCATACATACACACACACGCTCATATGTACACACACACATTCATAACCATATGCACTCTCACACACACACACATGCACACATACACACACACTCACACACACACATGCACACATACACACACACTCATACATACATACACAAACACAATAATTCACAAATCCTGTTTACACACTCTAGAGCTGCAACTAACGATTATTTTGTAATCGATTAATCTATCGATTATTTTTACGATTAATCAAGTAATCGCTTCGCTGTGAATTGTGTAGAAAAAAAATATTTTTTCATCACAAAAAGCTAAAGTGGCAACACTCGAGGACGTATTGATGGCGTAAACTTAAAGTAAATGTTTGTAACAGGCTCTTTGTGCTAATTCTGCTCTGATTGGATGAGACAGACAGATATTCATGAAATTATAAAAACAAAGTCGGTTTTAATCAAAAATACTACATTTTCATGTCATTTTTGCTCTGTTTGAGTCCGTGTGAACCAGAAAATGATTAATCAATTACTAAAATAGTTGTCGACTATTTCAATAATCGATTAGTCGTCGATTAATCGATTAGTTGTTTCAGCCCTAGTCTGACCCCTGTAGGGTAACTACTTATATTGCTGATTATAATTACTTATTAGTATAAATTTGGTAGTGTGGGTCTGCTTTATATTTATTTTGGCACCAGCAATGTGTGGGACACACTGCACAGACCAAACCAAATCTTTGCCTCGATATCAATCTTATAATCTAAAGGTAGAGAATACGTTTTATCTGCCAGGGATAGTCCGAGATCTAACAACACGACTCTGATAGGATTGAGTTAAAGAAAAGGGTTTATTGATTACAAAGTGGGATAAAACATAACGAAAAGGGATTTCTGGTCACATTTGAGTAGGAGCTGTACACATTTCATTCAAATTGAACATTTAACATGGAGCAGTCTTACTTTGAAGGAGCGTAGAGGAAGGAGAAGGGATTTGGGTTGGGAATCAGCCCACGTGGTTTCTTTGTCCGGGCAGGCGGGAGGTACGGAGCCTGCGAGTCTGGTCCAGCTGCTGATGCACGCGAGCCAGGGAAAGAGGCTGGTGATGAACAGTTCGTAGATTCCAACCAGAAAGGAGGCTTGCGTGAAAGCGGGAGGCCTCGGGGCGGACGGCACAGTCGTTGCTGGAGGCACGTACTTGCGTGGCCGCAGGGCTGAGAGGGAGGTTGCGAGCGTAGGCCGTGTAGGGGACACGTACCCACGGGGTGGTTGTTATAATGAATTCGGGAGAAACAAGAGAAAGTACAATGGCGTCTGGGAGTTTATATGGACTTCTGAAGGGGGCGCGTCCCTTGACGTCATCCATGTGCGACAGCCTTCTCACAACAGATGTGTTAAAATGGTAACACACAGGATTAATACAGAAGATCATAACACATGTACAAACACACACCGAATTCCATTACTTTGACATTGATACACACATGTAAGGTCTGCAACGGTTATCAATCATAATATCATCGAGTAATGTCCTTTTTCGAGTGTTCGTCTGGGTGCGGTAGCGTCCAGTGTCCGCTAGGGAGCGTCAGAGGGCCGCGGGTGGACCCCTTGGTCCGTGGAATGCATTGTGACAATGCCTTTTTCGTATCAGCTTCTCTGTTGACACGAAAAAGGCACCAGATGGGTATCCCGCTGTTTTATGGGTCCGTTTGGCGTCTGTAATCCTTATGATGGATAGCTGCTCCTGTGGTTGAACCCCATGGTTCCTTTGAAGTTCCCGGGTCCGGGAGGGCATGTTAAGACAGGGCTGCTTATTTCACGCTCGCCTGCGTCTGTCCCTTTTCCTCACCTTACACCCCCATCTGCTCCCTCTTACAAAGTACACTTAATACATACAGACTGGCCTGGTGTTCCCTGTATTCCCCTAAACAAACCCCCCACCCTAGTGAACTCTACCATAATTCCCGTGATGTGCTCTTCTTTGGCTTTCGAGTGACTCCCTCAGCATTATTGACAGCTGATTAAGAAGAAAAGAAAATAGCTACATTTGCCTATTTTATGTCTAAATTGACACGGTTTCTAGTGCCAATTGAATAAGAATGTCATGGCCTAGCTAGAAGTAAACGATTAAAAAAATTGGGAGGAGAAAATAATAATGGATAATAAAATAAAATCAATAATAAAGAAATAAATAACTAAAATAAAAAACAAGAAAGAAAATTAAGTTATGATTCCGGGTGTGCTGACGTCCCTTGTCCACTGGGAGGCGTCAGAACGCCGTTGGTGAATCCCCAGTCTGCCTTAAGAGAGATGAGCCAGATGGTGGTTTGAACTTTGATCTCGCCAGACCTAAAACAGAAATCATCCACACACACACTACCCCTCCCTAATTCTATAGAAATATTACTTCTTTGAGATAAGACAGGAGGCTTTTCAAGGTCCACCTCCTTCTTCAAACAACGAACGGATTAGCAGAATCCCCCCAGATTAACTATCATTAACTCATAGCCTGCATTTTGGACTACAAGGGAAGGAGAGGAAGACAAGGTTTTTTTTTTTGCTTATAAAGAGACAGAGTTCAAATGGTCAAATATTGTCACATCTGTTCAGTGTATTTTTTTTAATACAACAACTTTCATCACAATTGTAATAGCTGTGACAGTTTAATACATGATGTTGTATAATAAATGCAGCTTAAGGAAAAGTCAGGTTTATTAATGTATTACCTTATCTAACCCAGTCTAATTAAAAGCGCCCCACTTGTATGTGTAAACCAGTTGAAATATGTACCATGTTCTGGCTATTAAATTTATGAGCAAACAATACGCTACAATGTGTAAGTATGTGTCTATTTATTCTTACACCAACTCTTACCTATAGCGTTGTGGAGTTTGTGTCCAAAACACTGCAGGCTGGGCCAGTTGTTATCCTTAAGAGCTTTTATGATGTTGGTGCCACTATCAGTTGTCATGCAAACGAGTCGTTCCTCCGAAAGTCCCCAGGAGCTGAGAGCGTCTTTTAAACCATGGGCAATTATGTCACCAGTGTGGTCCTCGGGGAAATACGCTGTCTGGAGGCAGATGCTGCGCAGTGTCCAGCTGGTGTTGATATAGTGGACCGTCAGACTCATATATGGCTGCATCGTCCGGCTGGACCACAGGTCCGTGGTGGCTGAGTAAAACGTCATCTCCCCCAGCTCACCGCGGATCTTTTCACGAGTTGTATTGTACAGGTGAGGCAGCGCTACATCGGCGAAATACTTGCGACTGGGGACAACGTACCTCGCATCTAATACTTTTAACAGGCGATTAAAGCCTCGCTTTTCGACAGAATAAATTGGCAGCATGTCTGCGGCAATATAAAACGAGATAGCCTCTGTAATCGCTTTCCATCGCGCTCCATTCTTATCATAAGGCACACAGTTTGTAAAGCTCTCTAGAAGTGTAGTTTGCTTTTTAGCTGGTGTGCTAGAACTGCCGTCTTCGCTACGGCGCTGGCTGCACTTCTCCCATTCTACGGGATGCTTATTCCTCAGGTGCTGGAATAGATTTGTTGTACTGCTGCTTCCTGTAGCAATAGTCTTTGAACATGTTTTGCAGCGAGGCTTCGTCTGTCTTTCGTCTGCTGCATCAAACCCAAACCAGTCCCAAATTATGGAATTAACTGCCTTTCTTTGGAAGTAGTTCTCTGCTACACGCTGCCATTCTTGTTTTGACTGTGTTTACGCGGCGGAGGGGGCTGGCTCATAACGCTCTACGGTAACCCACAAGGACGAAACGCAAAAAACTCAGAAAAAAATGTGGTGAAAAAAAAATAAAAATCCTTTTAAGCTACAAAATCGATTTTTTTGCCCAGCCCTAAAATTAAATTATTATTATAAATATATGGATAAATGACGATAATGATAACGTTAGGATTAGTAAAGACTGATACTGAAAGAAATATAAGGAATTAAGGAAACAATATAGACATAAACATATTAGACATACACTGTACAAGTCAAGGTCATGTTATTATAAATGTCACTGTTGCAAAACTGTAAATATACCACAAAATAAACTGAGCTGTGCAACCACATCATTTAAGTTCATTTAGAATGAGAAATAGAGAGTGGGAGTTTAACAGTCTTAACTTCTTCTCACTCCTTTTGAGCTGGATCGCTGTTAATAAAACAAAACTGTATTTGTACTTTTTCTATTCTGTTGTTGTCCTTTTTTCTTGTTTGCCGTGGCTCGAAATAAAGTATTCATTCATTCGTACTGAATGTGTGAAAATGTAGGCCCACTTGCACAGTATTAACACAATAATAGTTATATTTACTTGCTTTTATTAATTACCAGGCTGGTCATTTTTTCTCTTTCAACTTTTACCATTTCTATCTACTTTTGTGTAACAAGGGTAAAATGGATCAGCTGTGAGCACTGACCAGCCAATAAGAAGCTGGTCACATGATTGACATTTAAATATACCACAAACATGATTCCTGCACGACTCAATCTGCAGCGTTTCACTGATTCACTGTAATCCAGAGTATAGAATATTTCTCCTGCCTCTACATCCAGAGTATAGAATATTTCTCCTGCCTCTACATCCAGAGTATAGAATATTTCTCCTGCCTCTACATCCAGAGTATAGAATATTTCTCCTGCCTCTACATCCAGAGTATAGAATATTTCTCCTGCCTCTACATCCAGAGTATAGAATATTTCTCCTGCCTCTA